CGAGAGAGAGAGAGAGAGAGAGAGAGATGTGGAGAGCGAGAGAGAGACAGAGAGAGAGAGAGATGTGGAGAGCGAGAGAGAGAGATGTGGAGAGCGAGAAGGGTGTGTCAGTGAATAGCTAGCTATAATGTCATATATCCTTCACTAATTCTTTACTAAAACCTAGCTAACAATTATCAGTTTCTGGAAGATGTCAAATCGGCACGACCCCTATCCCATCATCAGCGCACGCCGACTGGATGCTGTATACTCTAATTTGGATTTGAGGATCTAATTGCTACAAAAACCGAGCTGCTATCTAAACAGGACCGTTCGGTAGACATGGCAAGCTTTAGCGGAATTACACATCCACAAATAGCACGTAGTGAAACCGATCTGCTAATGGATACAGTGTAGAAACAGAGCATGTACTGCCTGGCGCGTGTGTTCGAATCTCTACGCCTGGCCGTGAGCGAGAGGAGGGGAGGGAACGGAGAGAGATGGGAGAGAGAGAGAGAGAGAGAGGAGCAAACGAATTCCCGCAGTCAACACGTCGGGGCTTGCTTACAGTAGGAATTCCACAGCTTGCTGCCAAGCACAACAAGCTGAGGCATCGTGTGGCAACATAACATCGACGGTCCGTATACATGCGGCGAATATTGTGGGGAAACTCCCAACTTCGCGATGCATAACAAACGACCGACGCCCGACTAGTTAAGATTCGCGGAAAAGAAGATCGGCTAACTATTGCTGCAAATTTGCCCTATATCGGCACGATATGATTAGTTACTGAGTTAGTCATGCGTTCAGCCATCAGGAACAAATTCCGTTTACTAACATTGGGTTTAGAGATCTGTATTGTGGGTTTCTCTGGCAGATTAAAGACTAGACTACAATTACATGTGTGCGTCCGAAAAAATATTACAAAGATAATATTGTATCATGACGGGGTGGTGGCCTCCCCTTTGTTGTGGAGAACTTTCTAACTTTTGGTTCCGACAGCTAACTAAATGTGCCAAAGGTTAACGTGACAAGTTTTGTCACACGTAACCATCACATTTTAAATTAATAAATAAATATATATATATATATAGAGAGAGAGAGAGAGAGAGAGAGAAAGAAAGAGAGAGAGAGAGAGAGAGAGAGAGAGAGAGAGAGAGAGAGAGAGAGAGAGAGGGAGGGAGAGTTTAGTAGGTAATATATAGTTAGATTATAGATAGATAGATATCACAATTGATTTGTGCGAGTTAGGCTTTACATTCTACGAACAAATAACAATCGTCATTGTCGCGCGCATCGTAATGGGTTTTATGTGACTGTTAAGGAAAATTATTATAGGGAAGATCGTGTTCCACAAATGTGTGCTGGCCTCCGAACAAACACCCTTTCTTCAATAGAAAAATAAATGTAAGTAAAAAAGCTACGATGATAGGCCCTACGATGATAGTGTTTCTCAGTGGTGCAGTAACTTGCTTAATTTACCAGTGGTCGGCAAAAAAACTAAATTCAAAACATTGCTGAAATGAGATTTTAAGTAAAAAATGTAGACATGAAATAAATTATCCTCATTATTACACAAGCTATATGAAACTATATAAATTATAGTGCGTGATTCATATAATGGAAAATTCGACATTCAACAGTAAAATCCTCGTATAATAAAAAAATTATAACTGCATGTTGATAAGCAACGATAAATAAGATTGAAAATTAGTATGACCGATGCCATTATCATACTAACTTACATGATCATAATTTTCCTTTTAACATTTCAACAACCGCTGTATTATTATAACATATCATATTATTTAGATATACGTAAGAAATATATTGGAAACTATATCATTCATTTGTATATGTTGGTTTGACTCTGCGAGATAACGCAAGTGCTACACATGTGTAACGCAGCAGTGATATCTCTGCCGTTTCGGGTTTTCGTAGTACCAGCACGCGGACCCGCCCAGCCGCCGCCACTCGTTGCCGTTAACGCCGATATACGTATATCACACCGTAGAATAAAATCGACGATTTCGTCGAGATTCTCACCCAAACAATTGTTACAATCACGGATGCGTAACAGCTTTATGTAGAAAAGACCAGAATACTTACTCCTTGTATTCCTAATGCCGTGTCATCAAGTTGAAGGGACTCTTGCTGGGTCAACACGAAGTCCAAACATAATACTAGAACGAGACCTAGTATCAGCCTAGAAAATGAGGAAAGATTGTTAATAGTAGAACGAATGAATCGAGTCAAATGTTACGCGATGAGATAGTGCTATGCTAGTACGTATTTTACGATGTTGAAAATGAAGTTAGACTTACCGCCGATGGCTCGGTCGGGCGCTGAAGAACTGACTGTCACCGATGAGCATGCTGCATCAAAATCTACAGCCAAAAATGCAGTGTTGCACCTAAATCTTTCGAAATTAGGTTTGCTTTCCCTTACACCGAGCCTTTGTAGCTCTACCACACCAGTTCGTTATTATTCTGGGAACGATTTCACTCTTCTGCCATGAGTATTTGATAGAAAGAGCAGGATCGCACCAAGCTCTTGCGATCTCACGGCGGTTTGCAAGATGAAGGAGCCTCGCGGTGGGCGTGGTTAGCGTGTTGTCGCTCGCAACTGTGCGTTGGGAGAAACGGGTTCTGATGGGTGCGCGACGCGCCATCGCGTAGCTCGTCACACCCACTAGTTCACTTACGCGTCGTTTTTGTCAGTATTTTTCGCCAAGTTGTGAATTGAATCTTTACTGTAACGCGTTGTGGGCATACTCTAGGGGCAGAGTGAGTAATTAAATATAGTATTAAGGAGTCTAATCGCGATAAAAATGTGAGAAAGTGTAACGATTATTTGAGATATATAGATACCGTTGGAAAATTTCTGTTCATGACACCAATGAATGTCTAATGCCGATTATTTTCATTTTTGAAATAATGGATCGAATTCTCCGCTCGTAGTTACATGATACATATGTATAATTAGTGATGAATTCTCCCTACCATCCGCGTAAAGGGGCGTGTTTAGTACTTTTGATGGTGTACCAATGCGCGACATGAGAATATCTCACTATTTCACAAAACTGCTGCCAAATACTATATGAAGAAAAGATAGGGGTTATAAATCTAGTAAACCTCGAGTGCACTTTGAAATAGGAAAATGTGTGCTGTTATCCGCGTGAACGCGTAGGAACTATTTGGCGTACTCGAGAAAGTAGTTCTAAGGCGGTCGCTCTCTCGCGCATCGCAGCATCTAGCTTTTGCAAGTGCTGCTAGCCAGTGTCAAACCAACATGGACAACTTTCGGTGATTTTCAGGGGAAAAGTGATAGATAATTCGGACTAATATTGTCGCCGTTTGCGCGAAAAGTGCTTAAACACATTAGGCACTTCAGTGTGAAGTTAGTTTGAATGTACAGCACTTCTTTGCAATGAAAGTTAGATCAATTTTGAGAGGAGAAATCCTCCTAGTGTTGGGGTTGCTCAGCCTACTTCACCAGAGCGAAGGCGCGGTAAGTAATATTTAGAGACTAGAAATACTTAATTACGATGTCACAATATCGTGCGAGAGTTAATTTAGCCGTTTTCTAAGAGGTACGTAGTTCTCTATCGGGTAATACATGCTTTGTGAATTATGTAGACTTGCGTTAGGTAATTGTGAATGTATGTAGGCATGTATATATATTGCTCGAATACGGCTCGCTGGATGCTGGGCGAGCGCCGGGTTAGCGGAAAAGCAGAAATCGGAGGTAACGGTAACCTGACGTACATTACGCACTGGTTGAGCCACTGAATCAATCAGAAACGTCTCCGCTTACTGAGCAGCATAACATTTTTCCATATTATTTCCCTATATAATTTAATAAAGTTACGCTTTCTTCGATCAGAAATTATCTATATCTACACATGATCACGTGTTATATATATGTTATATGTTGGCTGAGGGAGGCGATGGTATGGGGAAGGCGAGTGACGTCATTAAATAAAGTCTTGGTGGCACTGGCTTCATACATAGACGCAGCATGGCATTCTATACCAAAATTAATTGACTACTAGTATCAATAATTGAAAAAATAAATTAAAGTTTAGCATGCAATTTAATATAATCCTAATTATAATTTAAGATATAAAATATTTAATTGAAATTCATATGCATTTTTTTAATAATTCGTATTTGTGGGAAACATTTATAGCTACCTAATGTAATGTTTCGTTATACTTTTCAGGCGTGCAAGGGATGTATATACCCGATATGCAGATGTTTAGGTGATAAGGGAATAAACGTAAGTAATTTGATTTGCATACTGTAAGAAGTTTTATATATGATTATATATTTATATACAATATGCTAGGCCTTAACTGATTATGTGCCAAATTTAAATTTTCTAAAAAAAAATTATGAAAAAATAAGGCGTAAAACTTCTATAATTAGTATAATCGTTAACAGCCATTTAATAAATGAATATATACGATTTTATTATGACAAATAAACAATTTAATTATTTGATTAATTAATTAATTTAATGTTAAAAAATGTTTGTTACAATTTTTATTGCACATTTTTATAGAATCAGCTAATATTTCTTGCCCACGTTTGAATGTCATTGCACCCTTTTTCCCAAAGACACAACAACGAATTTAAACAATCTCAATGTATCTAATTCACGTGCAGACAATTCACGTAGTTACACTAGTTAATTTAGTAATGTCGCATCACACCTCAGCGCATTGCCGCACAGTTTCCTCGCGAGCTAATATAATGTATCTCTCATAGAAAGATCTGTATATATACTCATGATTGCAGCTGATAGACGTGTTAAATGCATGCAAATATATTCTTACGCTACGTTAAAACGTGCGTAAATGTTTTCACTTGTGTTTCACAGGGTGAGTCCGGATGGCAGGGCGTGCAGGGCCCGCCGGGCATGCCGGGATTGCCCGGGCGGGAAGGGCCCGTGGGGGAGCTTGGCTTCAGAGGCGACCCTGGTGATGCAGGAGCTATCGGACCGAAGGGCATGAGAGTACGTACATGTACGCGCATGCGCGTAGGCGCGAGGCGCGGCGCTGCTGTGCGCATCCTCCATTACAGAGATGGGGCGTGATGATGCTAGCTATAAGTGGGGCGTATCCATGCGAGCGTATAGTGCGTGCGATGTGTGTGACCGCGGGAAGTGTGAAAAACCTCAGATATTTGCACGGTGTGTGTGTGGGTGTGCGTGCGTGCGTGTGTGCGTGCACCTGTGTGCGTGCGCGTGTGTGTGTTGCCTGTGTGCGTGACCATGTGCGTGCAGATGCACGTGCGTGCGTACTAGTACGTGCGTGCGTGCGTGCTGGCGTACGTGTGTGCACGCGCGCATGTGATCCAGTAAAGATTCGATCGAGGTGATAATAACAATAATAATAATAATAATAATAATCATAATAATAATAATAATAATAATATGTGTGTGCGGGTGGGCGGACGGGCGGGTGTGAGCGCATGTGTTGTGGTTTATGTTAATGGTTAATGTTAGTTTTTCTAGCTAATAATTTAATAAAAAAACGTGAAAACAATTATTTTACTCCTGACTATACGTATTTGTACAGGTGTATACCATTGTATTTTATTTCGTCAGTTAACGATGTATAAAATACTGTGCATGGTTATTCGTTGCGACCACCAGTACGATATCGAGTTACAATTGATGTTTGCATGTTACAGGGAACACAGGGCATGCCAGGTTTCCCAGGTGTTCCTGGTATACCGGTAAGTATCGATGTAGAATGCCGAGCTGGTTCAGAATGACCAGGACATTATTGCAATCTGATTATTTATTAATTAATTATTAGCTAATTAAGTACCTTACTAATTAATTAATCATTTGATTATCAATGAGCTTCATAAGGTTTCGTGGATTTCATATCATATTGTTATTTATAAAAAAAAATTTTTATGGATCTTGATTTTTTTCTTGAATGTAGATTTTGAATTTAATTATTAGTGGAGTAAAGAGGTGAAACTTGTAAGTGCGTGTGTGGGATATTTACAGGGTTTACCAGGTCTAGAGGGTCCAACTGGAGAGGATGGCATCCCAGGTTGCAATGGTTCTGATGTAAGTAATGTGAATTGATCCGAATTTCGCCACTGAATTTAAGAGTAAATCCCAAGAACTGAGCATTATAAATGATTAATGTGCTCTTGTAGTTGTGTGCTAGCCGAAATAAGCAAGACTAGATGCATTTCCGATAGCCAGACTAAAGTTTCTACAATTTTTTTTTCATTATTGTTCGTATCAGTTTTCGAGTGCAATCGGTATATAACTATAGTATCGGCGACTTCAGATGATTCGGAGGTAAAATCTAGTGGCTTCTGGTTTACAGGGCTCTTCAGGCCTATCTGGTTATCCCGGGGCACCTGGCAGACCAGGTCGGGATGGAGGAGCAGGTCTACATGGGCCAAAGGTACGCGAGTGCATGTGTTTGCGCGTGTGCGTGCGTTTGGGCGTGAGTGAGTGCGTGCGTGGGAGAGTGAGTGCGTGCGTGGGTGGTGAGTGAGTGCGTGCGTGGGTAAGTGAGTGCGTGCGTGGGAGAGTGAGTGCGTGCGTGGGTGAGTGAGTGTGTGCGTGCGTGGGAGAGTGCGTGCGTGGGTGAGTGAGTGCGTGCGTGAGTGAGTGAGTGCGTGCGAGGGAGAGTGAGTGCGTGCGTGGGTGAGTGAGTGCGTGCGTGAGTGAGTGAGTGCGTGCGAGGGAGAGTGAGTGCGTGCGTGGGTGAGTGAGTGCGTGCGTGCGTTACTGAATTGCGAACTGCACTGTATATAAATTGTAGAAAACACGTGCAGTGAATTTAGCCTCCTGGAAGACACGTACGTGTATCTGGGATCGTCTTATAATAAATATCTCAATAATCACGCGCTGCGCATATTGTATATAAGTGGTTTATTGGTCAATAATCTTTGCATTCATACATTATTGATTAAAATCACCGAGTATACTCACAGGGAGAACCAGGCGACGGAGGTATTAACTCCCCAGGCTACAGAGGCGCATCAGGTGACTCTGGATACGACGGAATCCCAGTAAGTAAGGGAAGATACGGCAGTCGGCATATGGCAGAGACGTATAGCAAATGTTAAGTAGAGTGAACAGCGACGTGCTTATATGCAAGTCTTTAATCACGGGGTTGCCATTTACGTCATGACAACATTTCCATAACAAGAAAGTAACTTTTTTAAGTTAAACTGTCGTAATAGGAATTAGACGTAAAAGGAATCATCGGGCTACATAAAAAGTGTTTAAAATAATTTGTAAATTATATGCTACAACATGCTTATTTTTGTTAGGGAGCTCCTGGTTTGCCCGGAAACCCGGGTCTGCCAGGTTTATCCGGAGACCCAGGACCATTGGTAAGCACTGGACACATGGCTTCATGGATTTCATGAACATCGCATTTACCACAATATTTTGCACAAATAATTTATACCCATGAACGACCGTGTTGTTGTTATGTGTTCCTGTGCGCATGTATCTTTATATCGGAAATAATATGAACGATCTATCGTGACAGTGCACATCTCATCCGCATGATAATAACCCGATTAAGATTTAACCCGATGTGAGAATTTTATAATGATCCTACTCCATAGGGGCCAATTGGCATAAATGGTCCAGAAGGCCCTCCCGGAGATCAAGGGCCTAGAGCAACGACAGGTCCGAAAGGTGAAAAGGTAACAAGTCTAAATACCTATACAGTACTAGCAGAAGCACTTGAATGTTGAGTTGTAATTAATTTGAAAGAATAGAAGTTGCGATTCGACTTTGATTGGATAATTCCAAACAGAAAAATATCCGCACGCCAAGAACCACGTGGCGCTACTATAATACGCATGCAATGCAGAACCTATAGCAGTCCTTATAGTGCGCTGATAAACCCATGTAATACTATGCTTTCCATGTTTCAGGGTGAACCAGGACCGCGGGGTAAGACTGGTGAGGGAGATACGATAGAACTGGTTGGCGATGACAACGAGATGGAGATTGAGTATCAGAAAGGTGACACGGGCAAAAAAGGCTTCAAGGTCAGCAATTTTAGCATCATAGGTTAATGTGACATTACGTATTCCGTGAACAAATCTTACCAAGCAATTTTGATATCGGTTTGTATTACACACGACACACATATACACGCGTGAAATCCTATTTTGTAATTTTTTGCTTTTTCCAACAGGGAGAAAAGGGAATGGATGGAATTAAGGGAATGACCGGAATGGACGGGCCATCGGTAAGAATTTTGCACGTCATGTATTAGTATCTACACGTTTTTATAGTTTGTCGAAACCTTATATATCAAATGCTATCACGAGTCCTAATGGAATATGAAATTTGTCATATATTTTCAACACAGACGTTTAATGCATGCATCTGTGATGTGATTTAGCTATATAACTTGTAACGAAGAACCGAGGTCTGCCATATTGGCGAGCAATATCTAGTGTCTGCTAAATTTACGATAATTTTCTGTATATAATTACACATTTAAATCTGGTAGTATTGTGCAACGTATCCTACTTCGCCGGAGGCATCCCAATTATTTTAGGAATATGCGTCCTTACATAATTATGCCTTGTGAATGTATTGTGAAATAGACAATTAATTTGAACGTTACAAAGCATTTTACCTGTCACACATTATATCGCAGGGTCTAGATGGCTGGCCAGGATCTAAAGGAGAATGGGGCGATTCCGGAATGGGGGGACCACGGGTAAGGTTCCTTGTTATGGTGCTCTTTTGAGGTTATGCATATGTGTATTACTACTCGGCTATTTCTTTTTTTTATTTAATAGCAATGATTAAAATAATAATAAGTATTAAAATATTCTAAACTACGATAATTAGCAATTAATCACGATTCCTTCTTGCCATATATTGCCAGGTAGGTTCGAGTTTTATGGGAAAATATTACTGTTAAATATTACTTTTTAAATTATTTAGTGTTAAATTATTTAAATTATTTACTTTTAATAATAATTATCATCTTTATTACTTCCAAGTTTTTCCAATTTATTTTCAAGCGTATTCGAACATATTTGCATTGTGTCATATACAGGGAAAGCGAGGCAAGGATGGACCAAGTGGAGAATCGGGTCAAAAGGGAGACAAGGGTACTCCTGGTTATCCTGGAGTAGCGGGAGCACCGGGAGACAAGGTGTGCGTGCGTGTGTGTGTGCGTGCGTGCGTGCGTGCGTGCATGTGTGTGTGCGCGCGGGTGTATGTGTGAAATTTGTTTCCTCTTTTTGTACATTCTATATAGTTGCGAAATTGCGAATGTGAAGTCTTGTAACCTCACGGCAAGTTTTCGCCGTTTATTAAGACAGAAGCATATCAGATGTGTTTGCAAATTATATCAATCTTTGCTATGTTATGAACAGTTGAGCAACTGATATAAAGAGTCGATGGCTGGCTAAATGTATTATTTTGACGTATTTTATGCGAATGTTTACATGGCTTTCATATGTTATTGATAGGGCGTTTATGGCGAAGAGGGTCTTACTGGACGTAAAGGTGGAAAGGGAGACCCAGTAAGTTATCCACGTGTTCCCCTAAAATAAAAATATATAAACGTTGCTTGCCCATCGAAGATAACTCGGGACAAATGCCGTAAAATATCGGATTGAACAGCAGTAGGCGATATATTATTTATATTTTTAAGAGCGTATAAAGAAGGTTCCTTCTTAATACGCTCTTGATATTTTATATAGCAATCGGCAGTAAGCTTTATATGACGCCTACCCAGGCAAATTAAAATGTCATTAGGTGGCTTAATTCACCCCGATATTGAATGTGATGGACACTACGACGCTAACGCTTTCAGGGAAAGTCCATTCCATCCCTTATCCGAGTCAAAGGAGCGCGTGGACCGAAGGGTTCGCCAGGCTTTAGGGGTAAGGATGGACTACAGGGCCGACCAGGACCTGATGGCTTCCCAGGACAATTCGGACCTCCGGGACTGCCAGGAACCGATGGGCGCCCTGGGGCGGCTGGTCCTAAAGGCATCAGCCTACCGGGCCCAATTGGAGAACCAGGTAAGCTTAGCAGCCGATATATATATATATATCGATGCAAGGTATATTCCAAAGAGCGGTCAGTGTACGGCATTATATCTCGCTATTGCTTCACTAAACAACTCCACCACATATCCATGTGAAGTGTAGACATACCATCAATGATGCTTTGCAGGCATACCCGGTAGAGAAGGACTGGACGGGAAACCAGGAACGACTGGATACTCCGGTGCCAAGGGAAACAAGGGAATGCAGGGACTCACCCGTATAGGACCAAAAGGTCTTGATGGGTTGAGCGGTCAGGATGGTTTCCCTGGTCGCCGTGGTAGCAGGGGTAACACGGGTCCCATAGGTGAGTAAAACTTAAGATTTTAAGAAGGCTTGATCTCATATATGTATAGCAATCTATTCATATCTACTTCGGTCTACTTGAGCCTTATGTTACTTTGATCGCTTGTCATTTGCAGGTCTCCCGTGCTCTCGTTGCGACTTTGATGACACCAACGTGCCACCTACCGGTCTAAAGGGAATGTCAGGAGAGCCCGGTGACTCTGGCATGCCAGGTAATCAATATTATCGCCATCGATTAATCATTAACGTTTTTCACATCATTCTTTCATGAATAAAAATTTGTATTTATTCTTTTAGAATTTATTCAGTTATATCATCGCTCTGACTCGATATATATCACCTCTGCTCTGTGCTACCTGAATAGTTGCATTTTGGTCGAACGTTGGAAAGAAAGACAATCAACATGTGGCTCCATCATAAACGATTCTTTAAAATGTTTATTCGTTGCTTAATTAATTAATTAATATATTTATTTATCGCTAAAAATTACCGCTGGACAATGACACGGATACTTGTATTACACAGATTGTTGAACCGGGTAGTATGTATAACGGTAACACTCGACCTTTGCTTTGCAGGCCTAGATGGAATTAATGGGCTTCCAGGATTAAGAGGGCGGAAGGGTGAGGACTGTCCGTACTGCACTAATGGAGGTCCAGGAGATTTGGGCGTTGCAGGAAGCTATGGCCGATCAGGTATGCTGATGTGGGAAGAGGGGATTCTTTACACATGGATATGTTAACCTATAACAGACAAACTACAAGACAAGACTTTAAGTTTGAATCAACAGAGTAATTTTAGGGAAATTAGTAGGAAAATTATTGGAGAGTTGCATGGATGAATTTAGTGTGCCACAATTGGTGCATGCGTGCGTGTACTACGCGTATCATGATAATAGGGGGGTTCCGCAACTGGCAGCGGCGAAGTTTAGCTAGTTGCGCCCTCTTTTGGAGTTGAACCCAAGTAATACTGTGCGCCTATATTCGCCTCGTAAAAGCGAGTTAACATTAGCAACAAAAGTAGGGCACGTTCCCGGAGTGTAAAGCTAAGAAGGGTTGAATCCAACGAGATCCAGGCGTGGGCCGTGCGATCCAGTGGATGGTTAACCTAAACCTGCTGGATCCCACGGGAGGAGAGAGTAATCAGGTCATTCAGAAATAAACAAAAAATGCCATTCATCTCCGACTACGAAGAACGCTCTGTCGTTACCACGGAATGTTTTGCGAAGACGGTTGTGTATTTTAGCAGCACAACTTATATTTGGCGCCCAGGGTTTGGTAGCATCGCACACACCTCGCGCGCACTCGCACGCACGCAGATACGCGTACGCACACGCACACACGCATAATTTCAACGACAGCATTTGGAGATTGAGCGGTGTGAGGATGAAATACATTTCTTGGTACGTGTATGTCAGTATCGTGGCAGCCTATTTATTCCCTACGTCACTTTCGTGCTTTTTTACATCAATGCCTATACGTGCATCAGTAAAGCAAAAGCTGTATGTTATATGTACGACACTGGGATCGACACAAGATATAGACATGCAAGTGCCCTCCAGTGGTGTCTTGTTGCTAGGGTCGGATTCTATAATTAGCTCTGATCGTAGATGCATCTAATACACACGTCATAAGCATTTGTAGCTAATTATGATTTGATTTTCAACGGCCGAATTTTCTACAACTTTTCTAGAACTTTTACAATTGTCTACTTTGCCGAATTTCGATGATGCGGGAAAGGTATCAATTAATGCTCTTTGAAAATCCGCCGGCACATGCACCGAATTACAATTAATTAATTGTATAACACCGCGATCAAAATGTTTATTATGAAGTTATAATTTCGCCCACCCCCTCCCCATTCCCCTCTAAACATCAAGAGCCACCGGCTGTAACCTATCTAAAGCCAATGCCTCTGATCACATTGAAAGCTGCACCGTGCGCGTATAGACATGGCGTGGTCTAAGGGCTCTTATATATTTATAGTATTAGTAATCACACGGCGCGTAGTAGTGCGACAGGACTTCGCGAGCCCCTCGATCTTTACGGGAGCCGTAGTTAACGCAGGGTATATGGGCGTGGCTATATCGTGAACATCTGCGATCTGGCGTATTGCCGGGCATGCATCCGCCATGGCCGCGTTGGGTGGCGTACGCACGTTTTTCAGCGTCTGGGAAAACACGCGTAAAAAGTGTTGAGCCGATTTGGCGCGCGCGCGCTCGCGCACGTGGAGGCTGCGAGCTCACGGATGATGGCGGGGATGCTGCTGGTGGGCGAGGTCACTTGCACCGTAGGGAAAATGGAGCAGATGGATGCAGCTGCAGCGGCTACGTACCACGCGTATCGGATAACAGAGACTGGCACGTCCGTCGACGGCGAAGAAACAGCTAATGAACCGGCGGCGCTGTTTGCATATTGCTTGAAATAGGATCTAGCGAATGAATAACTTCTAATAGGCGGATACGAGAATTGAGAAAATACTTTGTGACGAAGAGTGAATATAAGTCATGGCATAATTTTTATGTGGACGAACCGCCCCATATATTTAATTGCTGATAGAAGAGAATAGCGAACGCACACACGCACACACACACTGCATGCCATTTGCATATACTGTTCATGTCATGCTAGTTAATTAATTACACTTAATAGTGCAATTCAAACAATGAAAATATTATTATTTCATGTTTAATTACGTATTATAAACAGCATTAGCAGTTTATGCACCCTATGCACCTTATTAAAATGATGCTAATCGACATGATTATCGATAATTTATTATAAAGGTTAGATCTCAAATAGTTCAATGATTGTTCTATTCTTTCCCCCCATAGGACCACCTGGCGGTGAGGGCCCGCCAGGATTCCGTGGGACACCTGGTTTAGCCGGTATGCCAGGTGTACCCGGCGCTCAAGGCTTTGATGGCATAGAGGTGAGATATGATGCGTTCACAGACAATACACACTTCAGCAGGGTCGTAGCCTGTGGGGGGGGGGAAGGGCAGCTGCCCCCATAGATTTTGAAGCAAAATTAAAAAATAAGCTTAGCTGATAATCGTAAATAACCCTAACGTGATTTGTTGGTCACTTATCCGTAAAAGCCTTGTCGCAGACCCACCTCTACCACACTATGGCCGTCGATCAAGAGCTGCGCCCGTCGCTCATCATTTCACAGTTGAGTCATGAAATTTTGCCCCCCCTAGGAATTTGCTCAGCCTACGGCCCTGCTCAGGTTACCTCGCGCACTGACTCCTGAAATGTCATACATAAGAATACTTATCACGATTTTTCACGAATCCTTTCGTGAAAAGAGATGGTGACAAATAAAAACCTATATATATATATATATTTATTTCTACATATACATATACATATGATATACATATACATATACATATACATATACATATACACATACACATACACATACACATACACATACACATACACATGCACATGCACATGCACATGCACATGCACATGCACATGCACATGCACATG